CATAGCAACAGTCAACTTTGCTTGACGATGGGTAGTATTCTAAAAAATATTGACTGCGCAGAATTTATGCGCACAAGGTTCACTGTAATACATATTTATATTGACTGGGCAGAATTTATGCATGCAAGGTTCACTGTAATACGTATTTATATAAAACATTCAGTATAATATAATAAATATTGCATGTAGTTGAGTGTAACATTGAAAATTTTCACCCCTCGAAAACCATTGTCAACCTCAATCTAATCAAAATTAGATGTTCCGAATCCGCTACCGCTTCTCAAACATCTAACAACATCCCATTCGGGGTCACGTCAGAGCGACCTTTCGATTATCCAATGAAATCGCCGTCTCTGAAATTTTGGCTTATAGTTCGGATGCGTTTCTTTTTTTACTGCCAAACCTAAACGCCCGAGGGGTTTCGTAGTAAACAAAATATGCATGGTAAAGACCGTGCTAAATATGAATGTGACGTGCTGGTTATATAGACGTATACATGTAGTTTGTGCATTTTCGTTTGCATTATTTAGGTAAGAATACCAGATTGGCGGACTATACGTTCAATTTATACCAAAATTACTTTAATTCAACGTAAGACAGTCTACTGAGCATCAATAATATCAATGTTAAGATGTAGCCGTGGAACTAATTTTAGAATCGTATACAGAAGGTTGAATCTGATTGGCCAAAATTTTTATGTTTATTCATAATCGAAAGATCGCTCTGACGTGACCCCAAATGGGATGCGGTTAGATGTTTGAGAAGCGGTAGCGGATTCGGAACATCTAATTTTAATTAGATTGTGTCAACCTCGGCTGCGCCTCGGTTGACAATGGTTTTCTTGGGGTGAAAACTTTCAATGTTACATGTACACTCAACAACATGCAATATTTATATAATGTTAGATGAAATATCAAGGAAAATTTTGATATAATTGAAAGTTAATTTTTCACCTTCATGTTTGTCATACTATAGGCATTTCGCTCGTCATGTTCACCCATCTTCTTTATAAATTTAATTTTTTTTTTTTTACATCCTTAGGAACTTTGAATTGAATTCGAAACTTTAAATACCCATTCCGCCAGTGATCAGAAATGGGTATTTCCTTAGAACATCCATCCCGTCAATGATCAGGAATGGGTATTTCATTGGAACATCCACTCCGTAAATGAACAGGGGTGGGGGGCCTTTAAAAAAAATCTATAAATTGTAAATGAAACATCCGTTCATAGATGTCTTAAAGCTCCGTTGTCCTCTCTTTTCAAAATTCTGCGGTTAACCCCCCCCCCCCCCTGAATATATCATATTCTACATTGCTGTGTCCCCCCCCCCCCCCCCATAGATATTACCAGAAAACAGGACTGCTCTGCGTTGTTTGTTGATGCTGAATTTACGTATACATGTAAATAATTATAATTGGTACAATATATTTAATAATATTTGAATGTTTTATGCAAATGCACATAACAGTGAGTGAGCCGTGCGCGCATAAAATCTGTGCAGTCAATAATTTGTTTGAAATACATGTATATTACCCATCGTCAAGCAATATTGATTGTTGCTACGTTCTATCAAGCTAATTTACATGAAAGTATAATATCATGAAATATTATACTTAGGGTAACTTCGAACAGATAAAAAAGACTGTAAATCTTGCAAATTGGACAATAAGATTTTGTTTGTTTCTGTGTTTCTTTTAAATACATGAATGAGTGTATTAAAATGCAAAAAATAACAATGATGTAAATAACTAAAAAAAATTCAGGCACCTTCTCATCAGAATATAGAATAGAAAAGTTCGTCTTTTATGTAATTTCTACTAAAATGTTTATTTCCCCAAACTCTAATCTTTTCAACAAGTATAAAACAACACTATCTACGCCGTTACATGCACACTTTTTGCAGAAAGAAACAGCGCTCCGCTTTATCTCTTAAAAAAAAAAAAATCAAAACCATCTTGGAAACTGAAGACTCTTTTTTTTGTCGGTAGTGCATGACATGATAGATCGTCCTGATTATTATTTCGTTAGCAACATTCCATGTTTATTGCTTATAATTATAATTCTTCGATATTGTCTTTTCTTAAAAAAATCAGCAGTCATTTTATATGATATATATAGGAGTTCTTTATGGTGACGTGTAAAGAAAACGAAATCGTAAGATACAATGTAGCCAATCCAAATCTTTTTTCCCCATTTAGCAGAATAATCGTCATCTCTGTCTAACTCAATATTGGTAAGTTCCTCGGCCCTGCGATATTCTATTTACCAAATGAATAAATAGCAACGCTGTACGTTTATGAATAAAATGGTTAACAAGAAGCCCATAAGCCCCAACGCTCACCTTACTCAATATGGCCCTGCTGTTTTTCATCAGCAGATTGTTTTCTATTGTATATTCAATGTAAAATTTAATCCCTATTGTGACCCCACCCTACCCCAGGTGTCATGATTTTTATAGATGTAGCCCCATCCTACCCCTTGGGGTCATGATTTGAATATACTTGAACTACCTCAAGATACTTCCATGTCAATGCGACTAAACATGGCTTTGCTGTTCTTGAGAAAATGATTTTAAAGAATTTTCCCTTTACGTCCTTAAGTTTAACTCTGATGGTGCATTGTGGCCCCAAAAATTGAACAAACTTGAATCTACACTACCTGAGGATGCTTCCATATCAATATGAATAAACATGGCTTTGCTGTTCTTGTAAAGAAGATTTTAAAAGATATGTTTCCTATATATTCCTATGTAAAAATTTGACCCCCATTGTGGCCCCACCCTACCTTCGGGGGTCAGGATTTGAAGAAACTTGAATCTACACTATGTAATGAAACTTTCAAATGTTTCAACTTTTTTGGACCAGTGGTTCTTGAGAAGATTTTTAAATGATACCGACAAATTTTCACTATAATTTCTGAATTATTTCCCCTTGAAAGAGGGCGCGGACCTTCATTTGTACAAACTTGAATCCCCCTTATCCAAAAAATGCTTTGTGGATTGTTTGGTTGAAATTGGCCCTGTGGTTCTGGAGAAGTCGAAAAAGGGAAACGTTTACAAACAGACGGACAGACATGCAGACGGACTACAAACAAAATGTGATCAGAAAAACTTACTTGAGCTTTCAGCTCAGGTGAGCTAAAAATGAATAATAAATAAATGAATAAGTTAAAGAAATAAAAAAAATGTATAAAAAGCATATTCAAAATATGATGTAAAAAATGTGATACTGGAATTTTATTTAATTATCACATATATAATAAAATTAGATAATGAAAACTAGTTTTTAAGGAAATGATGACATTAGAGTAAAAATGTTGCATACATCCTTTGGAATATTTTGAGTCTATTCCTTGGTTCCATTCTAAACTTAAAACCGGAATTTTTCAAATATTGTTTTGATTCGATCGACTTTGTTAAAATAAAAAAATATATATATTTATATAAATAAAATTTTTAAAAAAGTTAAAAATAAAATTACAAGTATTTCATGGTGAAATCACCACATGTACATATGTATTTTAATGTAATAAGATTTATTGCACTAGAAAATTTCTTCTTTTTTTCATATGCTTCCTCACATCAAGGATGATATTAATTAATAAAAAGTATCCAATTAAACTTTTTTACCAAACACAAACTCTACATTTTAAAATAAAAAGATAAAAAAAGACTTCTTTTTTCCATTTGTAAGCTTCTACTAAATTTTTTCATATTCAGCACTTGGTCTACCCTTTTTGTTCCTTTTGTAAACACGTTTTCTCCACGAAAAGCCATGATATAAAAATTGTGGTGGACAGGGGTATCCTCCTTCCTCCCACCCTTTCTTCTCCTTTTTTCCTTTATCCCTCTTACATGTACCTCTCTCTATTTTTCGCCTTCCTTTTTTCTAACCTCCTATTGTTGCGAATGTTATATAATTTCTGATCCCTAATCATAATATTTCTCTTGCTTTTGGGCAACATAACTTGTTGCGAAAAGAAGTTACGAATGTTATTTCTGAAGAAAATGTATCTCTTGTATTAAAGGAATTGTGACTCGATCACTATATGAACACCTATTCAACAGTTAATCTTCATGTTAAATTATATCGTAACATGATGAATTATATTGGGGTTTTTTTCTTTGGCCTTTGTTTAATAGTGAGTCATTAATTAACAACGTATTTTCAAGGTTAAGCGATACCTGACCAAAGTATTTCGGGACTTCATTTATAACAGACAGCGATGTCTATATGAAAAAGATAGAGAGTGATTGATGTGGATAATTAGGCCATGTTATAGGTAAAATAGGTAAACCTGATATAATTTATAAACAAGACAATAGACGATGTACATATATAAAATGGTACGTATATTAAATATATCACCTAGTATGTTTTTAGAATATTAAAAAAATTACAGTCAATTACATGTACTGTGCTAACATTTTTTTCTCTTCGAAAAATGACCTTGAGAATTTTTCCGTTGCGACCAACACATTTCAAACTTCAAAGATTAAAATATTACCGTTTTGTACATAGAAACATATGAAGGTTTGATATACTGATGAAATATGAACAAATTGAACATCTCGGTGGTTAAAAGAACTCTAGATACCGATGCAGTAGTAGATAAGGTGTTCAGTGAACTGCTGAGTAGGGGAAATACCTGAAGTCATGTACTCTAACCCTCTTTAAAATACTGTCAAAACAATTTAAACACCAGCTATCTATAACTTATCTACATAGGTATCTCAAGTGTAGATAAATTTGTATCTTGCTGTTTTTCTACCGTTTATTCGTAACATGTTTGTTAACAAGATTAAATCAGTGAACACGTGTATCAAACACCAAACCCCTAAAATTATGACATCAACTTAAATGCTTACTAATTACTTGTGCATAACGTATAGAGTGTTCTTAATTACTGGCGGAGTCTGTGCTACAGATCTATTTATACTGCTTAACAGAAAAAGAGAAAAATAAAGGCCGATATGTAGCATGTATGTTGAGGAAAACATTTCATAATTCATCAACTTTATTTTTTTTCTGTTAGTTCATGATCACCATGTGTAAATCTAAAACAATTTACAACATAGCCTGTACTTCGGGATGAGATTCTCTGTGGTCATTGGTTACCAGTGTCGAACGTTTCCTGGCCAAGAGCTCCATCTTTGATTGGCTGTAATTGACATCATCGTACATTTTTGGGTTATTATACCCGCAAAACCGTGATAATAACTTAAAGTAACCTTTCTGTACGATTTTTAGCCTTGCTGCATATATAATGGGGTCACACACAGAATTCACCACCACAAGAATATATAAATATCTGTTGGCACGAAAAAGCGTTTCGTATACCTTATTCCTACTGTCTAAAGCGTGTAACTGAATCACTACGGAAACTTGGAAGACTAAGTTCGGAAGCCAACAAACAACGAAAGTACCAATGATAAGGGCCGAGGTTCTAAGAGCCTTGGTGTTGTGCAATCCGTCTTTATGTAGCGTTGTGCTTTCTGTGCTGACACGTCGCACTACACAGAATATTCTTGTATAAATGAATAGCATGGCGACTGAACATATGGCCGCCGTGAATATCACAAAATATTCCGAATGGAAATCTGAATAGTTCGTAATTTCACAAAAATTTAAATACTGGAATGCCTCCGACTTTTGAAAACCTCCAAAGAATGAAGAAAATCCACAGAGAAATCCTATTATCCATAGAATAGTTATCATCAAGTTTGTCCGCCAGCGGTTTAAAAGATGCACATATCGATACGGCATCAGAATTGCTATATAGTGATCTATAGCTATGGCTAAAAGGTTTAACAGAGACATCAAGTTTGCCATGTTGTTGAATGAAACGACACAAACTTGAATGCAAGCAGAAAGAAGACGAGAATTGGGATCAGGGTCGAGAGCAGAAGGTGGCACATTGAAATGACCATTAACAACGTGCATGAATACACTGACTGAGACGAGAATATCGGAGGCTGCGAGACTTATGATCACTTTGGTATGTGACGTCTTAGAGATTTGTGACGTAGCCATGATGGACACAACATTGAACAGCAATGCTACAACGCACAGAACAAAAGTAACAATTGTCTCGGGCCTCATTAAGTCATGGCCTTCCTCCTGGTCCTCGAACATCGGTACAAACGTAGAGTTCAGTCTGTATGAGGAATTGAATCTTGATAAATTCCGACATAATCTAATCACGTATCTGAAATTAGTTCCGTTGAATGAGCTTCTTCCCTCCTCACATAAAAAATTCATCCGCCAATTTGCCATTATTTCTCTTCCATTAATCACTAGCAGTTTTTCTTACTGATGAGGACACTATCCCACATTGCGACTGAAAAAAAATAAATAAAACTTCAGTCAACTGAGGAGTTAAGATTCAAAGGATATTCTTGAAATGCTCGATAACTTTTGCCCTACCAAGGTACATAACTTCTTCCTAGATTTAAACATTTTAGTGCTTCGAATTTAATATAATTTAATTGCTTTTGTAATGGTTTGGGCCGTGCATATCGGCCTGGGTAGCTCAGTCGATAAAGCACCTGACAAATAATGCAGGGGCGCGGTTTCGATTCCCGGTCCAGCCATACATTTTCCCTTTCGTGTTACACTTTTAAGATAAAAAGTTACGCTTTCACAATTCATATTGAAGAATTTACGACAAAATATGTCAGAAAAGATATATCTATGGTGCATGTATTTAGACATTATTCCTCTTATATGATGCCTTGTTGTCAAGTTTCTATAAATATTAATAGTAGGTATCATTTTTCATTGAAAAAACAAAAAAACAAACAAACAAAAAAAACAAAAAAACAAAACAAAACAAACCCCGAATATTGTTCATCTTCATTGATGGAGTACATAAGTAGAATACAAATTTTTAAGGTGTTATATGGGTCATATCCTTGAATTTAAATACATTTTTAAAAGGTTTCGCACGTTTCAATGGCTTTATCTAGCAAAGTTAGTAAGGTTAATCCCATTATACAATACTGTGTCTACAAAGCTATCTTAGGGTCACCCAACAAATTTCAGCTACTACTGTACCAAAACCGTCCCTTAATCTAGAATAAATATATCTCAAGGTGGAGAGGTTTTCCACTAAAAATACTTCATTAGAGAACTAAAACGTTTTAAAAAGATTCGTGGTCTTAAGGCCAGTGAAATGTAAACACTTAGAAAATACTATACCTTCGGCGGTTTTGAAAACACATCCATCAACATCCAAAATAATCTCATTTTAAATTGATACAAAGTACACTACAAAAAGCTTTCACGGGAGTGTTAGAAGATAATTATGACAGTTTTTTTTCTATTTTTTGAGAGAAAACATTTCCCTGCAGATAGCAACTGGAGATATACATGTTTTGCCAAGGCCAAGTAAATATCAGTTCCTTGTAGAAAGAAAATGTGTACGTATCATTGAAATATAGTTATTAATTTTTCATGTTCTTTGAAAATATGTGATGTTTATCTACACTATAAAAATATGAAACAATCGCTTGCCAAGCATCATGTCACGCCATCAGCGGTGTGAGCGATCCCCCCTTGAAGCTGGTTGCATCTTTTATTTTCAGTTCAAAGCTGAAGCATAAATCAACGCCTTCTTGCTTCGATATGACCTCGCATAACTTAATTTAGGTTCAAGTTAACCTAGAATATTGAGCTGAATGCGTGGAATCTTCCAGATGCAATATCATTCAAACAAGAAATTGTTACTGAGAATTTTGTTGTTACCCTGAGTCTGAAGATCATGCAGTCGATCCCTTCCATTTTTTTTTTTTTAAGAAAAAGGGGGTTGAAGAAGGGCTACATCACCATATTATCAGTTTGGGAATGGACAAAAGATCGGGGAATTTAGTCAAGCCAATTTTTTGATAATAACTGTTGACTTTAAAGAGGAATTATAATTTTGTTGATGTACACTCATACATGTATACAGTCTGGGATCATGGTAGTAGCGAACAATTTGTATCTGCCATTATGAAGTCAGAATGCAAATTTTTATTGATAAATAGAAATATGTTGTCAGGACAGTTGGCGTAATTATCAAAAAATTGTCGATTTTCAACGAATTTTAAATAATGTACCTCAAAAATATCACAAAAACATGTTTTCATGTAACCAAAAATAAAGGCGTAATTTTTATCATAATTTATAGAAAATTATTAAAGGATTGACAGTTATTTGAAACCGATGCCTGTAGTTACAACATTTTACATCAAATAAAATAGGACAGTTGTAATCTAATAACCCTGTTTTTCTTTAATATTTGTTTACTAACAATGATTTTACGTCAATCTCTGTTGCACAAACACCAGCTGCTATTTCTAGAATTACAAAAAAAAAAAAAAAAAAAAAAAAAAAAAAAAAAAAAAAAATCGCATATGTCGACTAAAATTTCGCATAAATATACCTAAATGCCTCTCAAAAACGAACCTCTGATCGCTATCAAGATCAGGGATATATGTCTGTTTTCCATATTACAAAATTATGGATCTGTAGCTTCAGATATTGAGTTAGTCCGGTTGATGTAGTCCAGTGTGCATAAATAATGAAAATGACATAAACACATTTCCAAGCCAAGATCGTGGAGATAGGACATCTTAAGCAATTATTTCATAAAAGAGAATATGGGTATTTTAATTTTTTTTTTTTCCAAAATAATTTTTATCATGGTTTATATAAGAGGATTTCATGATATTATCTATAAAATAGAGATTTTAATACACGTAATGAAAAATTCTACTCGGTCGAAACACGTGTTAAAATATTATTATCATGGCGATTGGAGCATCCAAGAATGAAATCAATTTCAAAATTGGAGCTCAAGCGTAAAATATATTGCAGGTGGTAGATATCCTAGATGTCAGAGAATCGATAAATATAAAAATGCATGTAATAGTAGGAGTTTCTCTAAATATCATCTAGATAAATACTGGATTTTTACCCTCCGAGGTCGTCTCTGTGTTAATTCAACCAGTTATTTTTTCCTCATCGTCCAGTAAATTACTTTTCAAAAGTAATGAACAAAACGTGTGTGAACTATTTAAGACCATAAGATTCATTAATGATACATAAAAATTGTCACTTGAAATATCAAAGTCGTACTTTATTCTGATAGACAGAAGAAGGTTCCTTTCCTTGCATCCAATGCAGAAAAGAGGAACTAATAATGAAAAAGGCCATATTCTTACCTTAATTATTCCCTGTATACAGATGTACACAATTAATTCACCTAAACACGCCAAAAAGCAAAGGGTCGAAGAATTCATATACTAGTATTACATGTAAAATGATTGAAAATGACAAATGGAATAGGCTTGTGGCGAAGTTAGACACGGCTCAATGAACAGATTTTATCACTGATATATAGTTCTAAGATACATCAACATTCGACGCTCAGGCACAATTTGTAGAATAATTCAGGTGAAAAATTCAGATTACAATGTTTCACAAGTATTCGTATATTCGACACACTAATTTTTCAGACTACCAGTAGATAAGGCATTGGTGAATTAACCTGGTCTATTGATTTTTACCTACCGAATTCTTACCTGTATCCGCTGACCCCCGGGGCTGAGGAGGAGTTATCAGTTTGGGTGTATACACGTAGTGGAAGTTCTAATGTCCTTAATTTAACACACACACTCAAACACTGGACTTGCTGCCCGGTTGACGACACTATACTGTCACAGGACGCCACCTTTTTATAATACATGTCATCGCTCCATCATCCGAGGTCACACTGGCTCTGTCAGGCGCGGATCTTATTCACTCGGCGCCTTTTTCTCTGATTGAAACAACGTATCTTCGAAGCAAGTGTGTGTAATTATACTTAAGTAGTCGGGAATTACAGTAGCCCATGAGTGTTGAAATGAGAGATTACGGGGAATTTTGTAAACAGTTTGGGTACTTAAGGGTTAAAAATATGTGCTACTATGAAACAAACATCCAGATAATTATGATTTCATAATGAACGCTTTCACTAAGTACGGTGAAAAATATTTTAGGTTAATCAATGCACAAAATAGATGCCCCATGGGCGGATCCCATAATTCCAAACAGCGACAATTGCGTGAGGGTGACCGAGTTGTTTTTTTTATAGAAGCTTTGTGAACTTTAGACACTCTAGATCTAACGATTTCCTTTCAGTTCATAGAGACTTGTTGATAAAATCAAAATTAATGTCCAAAGTCTACTTCATTACAAATACCTTAAGTAGCTAGGCGATATTTTTTGGCAGGCGTCTGTGACAAATTTCAAATTAATTCCATCTCTCTCTCTCTCTCTCTCTCTCTCTCTCTCTCTCTCTTAATATTCGTACATTACAGGTAACATAGCTTCTCTCTCTCCCTCTCTCTGATTTAAACATAATTGAATACTTTGCCTTCTCGGCATTTTGTTAAATATATAATTACAAAGAAACAATCGCGCTAAATTGACGGGACTACATTTCGTGGGCCTTAAAACACAAATACTCACTGAACATATAATGTAATGACTTTATAATAAATGTAATACCACACTCCCAACGCAGCATTTATCGATATAATTGTCATCCATTAAATATAATTATTGCATGTGCCTAACAAGGGAATTAACTCTTATTGACGTAAAATGATATGTCATTTGATATGTATTATAACAGTATAATGAGAAAAGCACTGTTGCTATATTAATTTTTCTAATTAATTAAATAATAGTTTTACAGATACATATATATACGTAGTGTATCAAAGTATTGAGTATAAAAGACGGAAGCATGCTTGGATCTAAAGGAGGGATTTTCAGAGATCTTACATTTCTATGTAAAGAAACGAAAAAAATACCATGGAGCCCCGTCCCCCCCCCCCCCCAGGAAACACGACTCCTCGTAAAATGGTTTGGAGAGTCATGTACATGTACCTGAAGAAAATAGACTTAAAAAAGTCACAAATCTCAGCGGAATGATTTTACAAAGTGATATTTTTCCCTCGAGTCTTTTATACTGACAATTTTACGAAAGTTATTTTGCACTGAGAAAATTTATTCTGTCCATACACAAAATCATACAATAATTCTACGGCTAGCAATTACAGAAGTAGGTGTTCGAACAGACTACTTTTTTTCTTTGTCCTACTGTTTTACGAAAGCCTATTAAAATCAAGTAAAAAAAAACGGTAAATAACACCCCACTATCTTGTAATTACGAGAAAATTATCTCGATAAAATTATTTCGGTAATTGTATTTTGAAAACATCCAAGTACTCTTTATAAAGGAAAGGTGCAAGGGCACCTGTCCCCTCCACTTATATCTAAGAATAATCGATTGCTATTAATAAAATTTTTTATTGTGAAGCTGGTTAATCCCCTATTTTTTGTTGCAGTACAATATCCCCTCCCGCTGGACGTATCCCAAAACTTTACTTTTACCCATTCACGAAGTAGATTCTCTTTGTTTGTCACTTATCTTTTGCTTGTCAATTATTTCCCCCCACCCCCGCCCTCAAAAACTCCCTTGAGAGAAACGCCAGTAAGTGCCTGTTTTTCAGATGTACATATGTAAGATCCGAGAGGCGCAAATATCTAATTTTAAAAATTTAGATTTTTAGAAAGATTTTTTATTCTCTCTCTCTCCTGAAAATATTCGCCTGCGTCCTGGGGGCATTTATAACAGAGCTTTGCATTTATAGTAAAATTGTATATCTGCTATAAAGTGCATATAACCCTGTAAGAATATGATGAGTTTCTTTAATATCTGTTAAATTTATAAACCGAGAAAAAACGTACAAAATAGTGTTTCCTGCTACATCGAAACCAGCTGGTGTTTGCGTCTATCATTCCACTACAAGTCAGACTGTTATAGAATCTTCATCAAACTCACTTTATCGAAACCAAGTATCGAAACCAAATAGGCATAAATGGAAAATTTTTATTTCATTCATCAGCGTCATATTCAGATTTACTTGCCGAAAAATGTTCTAGGAACTTCGGCAAAAATTAAGATTGAATTGAATAGTTATAGAAAAAAAAAATAAAATTAAAAAAAAATATATGTATTTTTTTATGTTTCTTTCGGCATAATGCATTGAACATATTAAACAAATCATTTTATATCTGTTATAATTAAATGAAAAAAAAAAAAAAACAAGTTTCGATAAATATATAAACTGTTTACATTTTGGCCTCTATAAGTGACAAAGATCTGTCAAAGCGTGTTCACAACTTAAAGTTTACTCTCATTTTTGCTATTTCGGGATAGATTATCGAAAATGAAAGTAGGGTTTTAATTAAAATTACGGTAGTTGCTGATCACGTACATTTCAATTACATGGTATAGTTTACGGACATTATCTCATATGTAATGAAATATTAATGATGCGAGCAGTAGCTCTGGTGCGAGCCTTTCAGAGATTATTGACACAATTTATTCAATCATATTAGTATAGATCGTTATGATAAGACTTTGACAAAAATATGTAAATTGTATAAAACATATTTAATGCTTAAACAAAATTTGATTCACTCATTCAAACCAAAAGGGCATCAAAATCTTAGCTTGAAATGTAACCCCCCACCCCCAACCCCCAGAAAGAAAGAGAAAAGTTACGATGTAAAACATTCTATTTCTTTATATAAAAACACAAACTTAAGGATTATGGCATCTGCTATTAACCTACAGCAGAGCCCATTTTTATTTTTGATAGAGCTATACAAGTCTTAAAAGCTCATTGGTCCCCCGCAAAGCAGTTTCACACAAAAAAGCGGGTGTAATGAAAAAAAAGAGATGTATGAGGAAGTACGGAGAACAATGGTCATAGAGGAAGTGACATAGAGGAAACAGGAAGTGGCCTCTAGTCTTACCTTTCTATTCAAGGAGTGGACACCCTTAAATGTGTGCCGATTACATAAACGGACAAGTTGCTGTCCTTTAATCTAAGAAATCAACAAAATTCTGGGTTGTAATGAAATATGCGCTATAAAAAGATTTTTTTTAAATCTTGAAACATATAATTTTTTTCTATTATAATTTAATGTAATAATCGAATTACTAAAATTGTAATATAATGAATGATAAAAGAACGTAATGGATATCAACATTTGATCAAGGATGTATATTAATGGAGTCTTCCATGTATCACACTTACCCCACATATAAAATATTTTAATCAAGCTCAGATTTTAAAATATCATCCAGCTTTAAGCAGTGTTGTTCTCCTTGACAGAGAAGGCATCTCTGTCGAAGATTGCATATGATGCAAGGCCTGTAGGACTCAAGAGGGGAAGGCACCCCCCCCCCCCCCGTCTGTCCAAAAAATTTGCCAGTACTTTACTATAGAAATTAAAAAATCCAATTTACGGATGTGCCCCCTCAAAATTTTTTTTGCCAGTATGAACTGTACATTGGAATTGTAGTAAGCTAATTTACAGTAATACCCACTCAAGAAACGTCAGTTGTCATTTTCCCCTGCAAAGTATTTTTGTCAGGTTGAGCCCCCCCCCCCCCCCCTTCTCCACTGAATTTGCTTCCTACGAGCGAATTAGATTTTTTATTCAAGCTAAAAGCAATCTGAATTCTTCCTCCTTTCTAAAATGCTCGAAAAAACCCATAGAAACCCCTTAACTTAACTGTAAATTTTATTCTTAACATGATCCATATACATAACTATAGAAAAATATTTTTTATTTACAAATAAGGATATATGCAAGCGAAAAAGATGGGAAGGGATCTAGAGCAGCCTTAAATGAAAATTTTTATATCATAACTTCAGCAAAATGCAAATCCAAAAGTGGACCCCCCCCCCTCCCCCCGTGTACTACAGACTTGGGAACACAACGTGAGGAATAGCTACCAAACGTTGTAACGCTAAAAATGACGTCGAAAGGGATTGTAAAAATGACGTCAAAAGGGATTGTTCTGACGTGTGCTGTATATGAATTTAGAGAATATTTAATCACATTGAACTTGTAGTAATTTGAAGACAGAACCTTGGCTAAAATATTTTCTCATTAGCAATTCATCGAAATGAGAATTATGTTTCTAATTTTCTATTATTGTGTTTTCTATTCCATGTAAGATCAACCGATGCCAGCTCTACAAATGCAGATTTAAACATTTAAAGTTACCGGTAGATATAATTGTTTGACGATGATCATCTATTTACCCCCCTCCCTCCCCCCCCCCCAAAAAAAAAAAGAAAAACTAAGGAAAGATAAACGCACATTCTGAAAACTATACATGTAAAAATTGAAGGGTACAAAAATACGTTAATTGATAAAGAATTACGAAATGCACATAAACGTACATGTACAATTGTGCGTTCTAAGAACGTCAGACGTCATTTTAGCCAGCTAGGGGACACTTCCGCAAGACATTTCAATTCTTTTATAACTTTCGTAATAAACGATAAGATCGGATGAAACTTACATGTATCGAAAGTATTTTTTTTCAGTACTTTACAGTGAAATAAATTTCAACCAATTTAAAAGCTTGAATTCGGAATAAATTCATAAGCTATTAATTATAATACATATTTGATATGACGTCATTTAGGCATCGGGACATGTTTGCAGAACACAGCAGATGTTTGATTTCTCGCTTTAAAAGATGGAAAAACTTCTTCATTTTTCGAAAACAAGTAACTGTTTAGAGGTACTCGGTGTATGTCAAATTAAATTTGTTTATTTAATTAATGACAATTTATTTCAATTTTACCTATTGAATTTCATTGAATGGGACATCCTACACTACATGTATAAGACCTTTGTTTCAGCGGTTTTCCGTATCCTTTCTCTGAACAGAGGTTCTCAACAAATATGTTAGATCTAATTGTCATAATATAGAACAATCCTGTGAAATTTCTAAGAGCTGTGAGGAGATTTTTGAACTTTGTCGAAAAAAGGTATCTGTTGAAGGCGCTTCTTAGTAACAACGGGACAATGCAAAAAATGACGTTATTCCCGAATATTATGGCCTGTTAATGTATGAATACCTTTGGATTTATGTTTATTTCTATTATATTCTTATCGGAGAGAAAAACCCTTTATTTTCATATTAAACACTTCATATTTATCATCCGAACTGGACTAGAATTTTTAGCTGAAAACGGATTAAAAGTACATTTTCTTGTTGGTATCAATTCCTGACGTTTTACATTAATGTACATGTAGCTATCGCCTGGCAGAACAACAAAGATCTGGCTGGTTAAATGGCTTGTAAGGACATTGTTGCATTTTCCAAAAACCATTATCTAAAATCAATAAAGTAAAATTTTCAATCAGGTCAATAACTGAAAAAAAGTTACGTTCCTTTTTTTATTCTGTGACATTATTAAAAGCAAATATATGACATTTAAGGCTTTCTGGAAAGCCCAACTTTAATCATATTAAATCAAATGCAAATCATGGAGAGAAAAAAATGAAATTTCCCCAAATATATACAATTTACTCTAATTTTACCTTGAAACAAAATATTTTGAACCTAACACGGAAAACACTATGATCAAATCCCCTCATTCTCAAGATTTTGCCTTTTACATTATAAACATAATATACTTACTTAAATTTTCAGCATTACATCGTATATTAACGAGTCCTTTATCTTAATATACTGACTTATAGTTTATTAATTATTTTGTTTACTTTTACAGTTCAGCTATCTATTCAATCGAATAAATTTTTCAATAATTTACGGATCGATTAGTCACTTCGCGATAATGTTTCCTAAGAATAATAGAGTTACATCTCTTTACTCCTTGTGAAATGTGCACTAATTTTTAAGAAGATTTTGCATAAAACTGCTGTATTTCATGTCAAGCCAACCTGAAGCGAATCGTTCTTCCGGATAACTCCTCTATTCATCTGTCAGGCCTTACAGAAAAAGAACACGTTTTCTATCTCCTTTTCGTTAATATCTCATTCAAGCTGTGGGGTGGGGTGGGGGTGGGGGCACAATAGCCTCTGAGGCACCATCAGATCCTCTAGACCTCTACCCACCCCACACTCTGATCCGCGGGAAATCATTATTCCATTTTTTGCAAATATTTTCGACATAACTTAGGGTAAACATTGTTTTGCAGAAGTCTTACATCCCTTAGTATTTGTGTTAAACCAATATATTTTGTGCCGAAAAACTTTGGTGTATTTTGAGTAACGAATGCACATGTTACTCTAAGTTTTCATATAGAACAGCAGAACAGCTACAGATATTTTGTTAAGAGTTGCTGCAATTATCACGACGAGATAGTATCGATCATTACATCACGATTATAGTTATCATTGGATATTTAAATTTTTTTTCTATGCTTCGTACATATTTATTTGTGACCTACTAACGTTTAAAAATAATTTGTTGAGAAAAAGTCACGAGAAATCCATTAAAGAATCAACTATCAGTAACTTACTATCAACATACGACACATTGTTATTGTTCTATGGTAAACAGTAAATAGAAAATTTAAGGTACATGTCCCTGTTTCTGAACCGTGCTTCACATGACTGATTCAAATACCTTATATCAAAGTCATGGCTGTATTGTAAACTTTTAGAGAGGAAAACAATATCCTGGAATAATGTCGACTACAAGCGATCTGTTCTTTGTTATTTTTCTCCTCCTTCCATACCTCGTTTCTTCTTCTTCTCCGAATATCCTCTTCATTGTGGCAGACGACTATGGTAAGTAAAATTATCTGCATCATAAAACAAAACGCATTCATTACTTTGCTTGATTTATGAAAATATGATCTGTAAAAAGGCAACTTTGTTAATAAATCCACAAATCAAATTTTTGATGATTAATTGGCAGTTTAACGTATTGCATCGCATACCGAATTTGAAATAGTTATATTACAATTTATTCTACAAAAACTTCTTTAGGAATGCATAATTCCCCACTTTGATTTAGAACTGAGTTAATTATAATACATACATGTACGAACGCATATTTTAACAAAGTGTCCTAAGAGATTCTCTTCGACGTCCGAATATTTATGCATGTTGTGTTGTAGTCATTGTTTTCAAATTGATATCAAAATGTAATTTGTTGCTTTATAGTAATTCTAAAAGACATATCTTATAAACATGCTGATTAGCGGATCAATTTTTGTTCAAGGTTGGAATGATGTTGGTTTCCGGAATCCTGACGTCATAACTCCAAACATTGACAAACTGGCGCACAGCGGTATGATCTTACAATCCTCATACGTCATGCCCGTCTGTACGCCGTAAGTTCCAATGACTGATCAGTGATTTCCGTATTAAATTTGTTGCATTTGACCTAAGATTTAAAAATATGTTTATTTTCATGACTCACAGAATATCTTGAAAATGTGAACCCATTCACTTCCCATTGAATTCTTTCTAAAGACTAGTCTTTTTTATAACTGCAAGCTGAAACGGGCTTGACTTCTGTTTGATTCAAAATTATTGTAAAAACATAAGATTGAAAACGCATCTCTAAATGAAATATATTAACTTATTAATTTTGAAAAGTGTCTGTTTATAAATAAAGAATCTATTGAATTTAATTAGTATTACTCTCCCATTAAATTCTTTAATAAACAGAGTAATATTCAACAAGTTGTAAGGCACTACATGTACCTGCCAAAAATCAAGAAAAACGTATTATTTTCAATAAATTTTACTGCTCAACATAATCTATTAATAATATCATATTTCAAAAGAAGACCCCCAAAATATGTAGCTATTAAAGTGAAAAGGTTCCTAAAACGGATTATTAGACAGGTACATATTGTACTTGTAGAAACAAAGTGGACAATGATAATTTTATACCCCCGGATCGAAAGATCCCGGGGGTATATTGTTTTTGTCCTGTCTGTCTGTTTGTCTGTCTGTCTGTTGTCAACTTTAACCTAGCCCATAACTATTGCGCTGTCAAGGGTAAGTCTCTAATATTTGACATGAGTGTTCATTATGACAAGACCTTTCCTTGGGCACCACCATATATGATCTTTTGACCTTGAACTTGGAGTTTGACCCAGTTTTGCAAAATTTTACCAAACTTTAACCTTGGCCATACCTTTTGAACGGTTGGTGCTAGGACTTTCATATTTCACATGTGTAATCCTTGTGACAAGACCGTTCTTTGGATACCAACAGCTTTGACATTTTGACCTTGGAGTTTGACCTACTTTTGAAAAACTTTAACCTTGGCCATAACTTTTGAACGGTTGGTGCTTCCGCTTTCATATTTCACCTGTGTATTTCTTGGGAGAAGGCCTTTCCTTTGGCACCATTAATTTTGACCATTTGACCTTGACCTTGATGTTTGACATACTTTTGAAAAAAGATTTTAACCTTTTCCATATCTATTCAATGGTTGCTGCTAGGCCTTTCATATTTCACAGGTTTTTTCCTCGAGACAAGACCTTACTTTGGTTGTCAACATATTTGATTTGCATTTGAGAAAGTTTAACCTTTGCTATAAGTTGCCATACAGGGGCATCAGTGTTTCACAAACACATCTTTTTTCTCTATGGTGTAATCATAGGTCAAGGAATTCGTTCATGTCTGGTCACTACGCCTTCAAGTCCGGCCTCCAGGTAATTATTGACGATGCATATCGTTATCTGTAAGTATATAAGTAAAAATAACATCTGCACCCAAAGTTTCTTAAACTCGTCTTTCTTGTAATAGTTTATCAGATCTTATATTAAGTTATGCATCAAACTGACTATGCCAATGTAGAACAAAAGTATTAACGGAATTCTATCGATTTTAGCATCTTGCAATCCTTCCAGAGCAGGCAACCTGCTCTCCCCTGAATTACACTTTCTTACCACAGAAGCTGAAGGAACTGGGGTACACCACCCACGCCATTGGAAAGTAAGCTGTTTTTTCCTAATTTAAAAAAGCACCTAAAAAGCTTAGTCTCAAAATATATAGGGTATTTATTTTCCTCTATTTTTGAATCTTAAACTCTCTCCTGATCCAACTGCGTTCACTATTTTAATTAGTCTTCGCAAATTATTTTTGTTATACATGTATGTTAGGGTCAGAGAGACGCAATTGACCCCTAAAAATAAATACATATTTGATAAAGGTAAGTCTGTTATACGTACAGAAGCAAGTTAATTTGACAGGTTAAAAAGCACTTTATAATAAAATTATAAGAAAAAATGCACGATTTCAGGTGGCACCTAGGATTTTGTAAGTGGGAATGCACCCCCACCTACAGAGGGTTTGACACGTTCTATGGTTATTACAATGGCCAGGAGGACTATTACAAGCTTAGCGTTGGTAAGAAAAATTCTATATGTACATGTATCTAGTAACAGGAAGTCTTTTCGCATAAAAAATGAAGGCATGTTACTCTATGATAATATAAAAAGAATTATGGAATCCCAAAGTAGTCTTTATTGTTAAATTGTTTTTTTTTTTACCCTAATAGTTGGTGGTAAGGACTTCAGAGACAATAAAACACCTGTTAATGCCACGGGAGAGTACTCCGCGGTAAGTTTAGGCAGAAGTAATGATTTGCAAACATTTCACTCTTTTACTCCTGACGTATAGTATGCAAACAACAATTGGTAAATTCCACTTATTATAAGGAGTAAACATTCTACGAAAAATGTGTGAATTTCAAGGTCCTTGGATTAGGGTTGAAACGAGCTAGCTAACCACTTGCCAAATATTGAAGTTTTAGCAGACAGCTGAAAGGACAGACTAAACAAAACAAAACATTATGCTCCGATATAATAAGAGACAATGAAATCATTATACGTAGCTAAACATGGCATATTAACCATCACCAGTGCCAGAATGATACGGTCAGTGAGGAATGCGCCATTATTTGAAGTCAAAAAGCTATGTATTATATTTTTTCAATAAATAAGGCATGTAACCAATACACAATGTAGTGAAGTATCAACTGTTTAAATTGACAGCACATGTATGCTCGGAGAGCTCAATCAATCATCATGAACCATGACATGTCTAAACCTATGTACATGTACCTACCGTTCCAGTCTGTACACGAACCTCTTCAGGTAAGTGATTCCAAAGTTCTGAGATTTTAACTTTGTGTTTTACAGGATTAACAGTTTGTAAAATGAATCTCAAGATAACTTACATATAGTGTTTATTGTTCAACAGGTTCCGGCCCAATACAGCGCCATGTATCCTAATGTAAAAACACAGTCACGCAAGACCTACCTTGGTAAATACAACCAAAGAAAGCAGCCATTCCATTACCATCATTGTTTCAGTTTTAACACTTTCAATAATTAAGAACTTTATAAATTATTAATTGTTTAAAAGACAATAATATTATTCAAGTACAAGGTTTGGGTGGTGAACATGGTATTGTAGTCACAAAACAATGGCGATGTTCTTTTGTAAGTGCTCATATTTCTAGGCATGGTTACGGCCATGGATGAAGCAATAGGAAATATTACCAATACACTGAAAGCTAAAGGGATGTTCAACGATACTCTGATTATATTTACTGCAGATGTGAGTATAATTTGGGGAAAATCGACTTTAGAAACATTTAATTACTAATAAATAAGTTATGTAATGTCAAATACACTGAATGGGATTTGTCAGCAAGTTACGCCCATTTCAGCCCTTTACCACACTTATTTCAGCCCTATACCTTGCTTATATCAGCCCTCTACCACGCCGATTTCATCCCTTTTCACCCCTTTACCACACCTTTCTTTAGCCCTCTACCACGCCTATTTCTCCCTTTACCATGCCTATTCTAGCCCTTTTGAAAGCCAAATTTAGTCCTATACTATGCATAATTATTCTAGCCCTCTGACAATTAATAAATTGCATGTATACATTATCCAAAGAAATAAATCAACATTGAAGAAACATGAAATATTTCATGTCTCTCTTAAGTGATAAGTAACACTAATAGGTTCACAAGAAAATTGATTTTAAAAAGCAAACATATTAAAATATTCCGTCTTTTGGATTTTTTATATACCTGCTGATTTCTACATGTAGCTCACCTGATCCAAAGGCTCAGTTGAGATTTCTGATCGAAGAGTATCCGGGTCTGTTGTTTGCCAACTGTAAATTATAAACATTTCAACTGTTTTATTTTAGAAATCTTTTGAAAATAGCAGGGCTACACTTAATAGCATTCATATGGTAACATTCCAAGGTTATGTAGAATGATTCAAGCTTTTTCAAAATTATGGATCCTGGGGTTGGGCTTAAATCAGAGCGCAATTTTCACCTAATGCATGTTTACTTTATCTGCCGAACAGCAAGGCCATATTAGTCACATTGATATTGAAAAAAAATGATTCAAGTAAAGTCTTGGCCCCTTGGAGATAGGGTCGGACCACAATAAATGTATGTGTTATGAATTTCTCATGTGAATAAAATGGGAAAATGATATCTTATTATTTCAACCTACAATTTTGTAAGAAATTTGTTTTGAAAAATAAGCAAAAAAAAAAAAAAAAAAAAAAAAAAAAAAAAGAAATATTCCTTCTTTTTGAATTTTTGATACTATCTGATTTTTAATTCAACTTACACTGTTCACTTGTATACAATTTTATACATTCAGAATGGTGGTTGGACAACATTTGCTGGAAATAATTATCCATTAAGGGGAGGTAAGGCAACGGTATTTGAAGGAGGAACAAGAGCCACTGCCTTTATAACGGGGGCTGGTATACAGAAAACTAACTCTGTCTATAATGGGTCAGTACGTTGTATTTCATTCTTCCGAACTTAAGAATATCACTGAAAATGGAATATATGGAAATGAGTCATTGAAATTAAAGTTAAAGTTTTGTAATATACAAAAAAGTGTAGGGTGTATACTAGCAACCAATTTTCTTACTTATATTACTTAAGCTAAATGAATTTCGTCTCTTATGTACAATCATGATGCATCTAATGAATGCAAATGAAATGTCTCAGTCCCTTTTTTGAAAATTATATCAAATCTATTTCTATTCCTTCTATTATTTTCAAACAGGATTATACATGCTGTAGATTGGATGCCAACAGTTCTCAGCGCAGCTGGAGGGACACCAGGTAGGCATAAAATATTCAAGTTTCCTTCCTGTAAAGCTGTTGATGATACCTTGTAAGAATGTTCAAGTTTCCTTCCTGTTAAGCTGTTTGTGATGCACTGTAAGAATGTTCAAGATTCCTTCATGATAAGCTGTTTGTGATGCACTGTAAGAATGTTCAAGTTTCCTTCATGATAAGCTGTTTGCAATGCACTGTAAGAATGTTCAAGTTTCCTTCATGATAAGCTGTTTGTGATGCACTGTAAGAATGTTCAAGTTTCCTTCCTGTTAAACTGTTTGTGATGCACTGTAAGAATGTTCAAGTTTCCTTCCTGTTAAACTGTTTGTGATGCACTATAAGAATGTTCAAGTTTCCTTCCTGTTAAACTGTTTGTGATGCACTATAAGAATGTTCAAGTTTCCTTCCTGTTAAACTGTTTGTGATGCCCTGTAAGAATGTTCAAGTTTCGTTTCTATTATGTTTTTTGTGAATGTTATGTACTTGAAACATCTTAAAGCTTCCTTCTTCTTATGTTGTTGATGATTCCGTGTGAGAAAAATGCCTTCTTGGTAAGCTGGTTTTCATAGATATTATAGTTTCTACCTCTTTTATGCTATATATGTGATGCCTTTTAAGGATTTTCAAGTTTTAATATGTGATACCCTTTTGAACAGAAATCATGATTCCGTGGGGAAAAAGTATACCTTTACAGTATTAAATTTCCCATTCCAGTTATGCTGCTTGTGATATTTTTAAGGTTAAACTGAAGTTTACTTCCTGTTCTGTGGCTCTTTACGTACATTCAAGTTTCCATTCCTGTTATGGTGTTTGTAATTGTAATGTCTTTTAAGGATATATAAGGCCCCACTGATATGCTGTTGATGATGCTCAGTTAGAATGTTCAACTTTCTTTTCTAATAGGCTGTATTTGATATTCTTTAAGGACATTGAAGTTCTATTTCTGTTAAGCTATTTGTAATGCTCGCTAAGAATATTTAAATTTCTATATGTATTACAAATGTAGTACCCTTTAAGAATATCCAAGTCCCATTTCTGTTTGTGATATTTTTGTCATATATTAGCCGGTTTATTTATATTATTTGTGTTATTCAAAATTCCTTCCGGTTATGTATTTTTAATACCCCTAAAGAACATTCAGTTCTCTTTCTGTAACACTGTTAGTGAAACCCTTTTAAGGATATTCAACGTTCCTTCCTATTATAATGCTGATTAAAGATAACTATATTCAAAATTTGCAGATCCGAATCTTGATGGAATCGACCAATGGGACAGTCTAAGAACAGGGGGAGAGTCTAAACGAACCGAATTTGTTTATAACATTGATGATCTAAAACCAGAGGTGTGCGGCCACGCTGCTATAAGGTAGAGAATAAAAATTTTGATTAAGCTATGTGATATTTTATAAGAGCCGTTCCAAGCAAAACCCCCCTTTAATCAAAACATTTCTAACAATTACTTTTTCTTTTCCTGCACAAAATTTTGCCAACAGAAAGAATAATAATTATAATAAGAAACAGTATAATCACTGTAAGGTCTTCCGTGAAGACAAAAGACCTTAATAATAATAAGAAAAAACAGTAGAATCACTATAAGGTCTTCAGTGAAGACGGAAGACCTTAATTAATAAATAATAATTAATAAATAACCTAAACTTGTCAAAAATAAAAAAAACTATTGGTGGGGGGGGGGGGGGGGTCTTTCCTCCATATATGTAATATAAATGACACTCCTTACATTATACCAGGAGTCATCTTTAAAATTCCCTTACACTACTACAGAAATTTGAAAATTCTGAAAATCCCGGGGTGGGGGTTCCGGAACCTCCTGACCCCCTACTACATGCTTGTACATTTGGTTTGAAAGTGGGTAAATATATGCCCTGAAACTTTTCAACCACATATATTTCATGAAATCAAAGCTTGTTAGCTCTTCACGCAAAATATGCCTTTATAGAAACTATCGGGTGTTATCCTTATGAATTTTTTTTTCTGAAATACGTTAGAAGTGTTTACCTGTCAGTGCCAAAATACGTTAAAAGTGTTTCCATGTCAATGCCAAAATACGTTGAAAGTGTTTACCTGTCAATGCCAAAATACGGTGAAAATGTTTACTTTCAATGCTAAAATACATTAAAAGTGTGAACCTATAAATGCCAAAATACGGTAAAAATGTTTACCTTTCAATGCTAAAATACGTTAAAAGTGTTTACCTGTCAGTACCAAAATACATAACGTTATACATGTACGTTAAAAACGTTTACATGAAAATGTCAATGCCAAAGTACGTTAAAAGTGTTTGCACTTTACCTGTGGTTAAATGTTAATGATAAGATACATCAACCGTGATATACATTTTAATGATAAAAATCTTTAAACGTATTTACATTTCAAAAATTGAAAAATTCCATTCAATCGCAAAAAATCTTCATTTCTTCTATTTAAGTGGAACGTTTCGGCAACTGATGACATTGAATTATTCTGGCTTTTCCTTATATTCATTTACAATAAATCCATCATGGATCCATTAAACATCGAAATTAAGCATAAATGTATGTTTGTAAACTGTATAAGTAAAATTTATGTGTTGTAGAATGGGGGATTACAAATTAATAGATGGCTATCCAGGGCTCTACCAGGGCTGGTACAAGCCAGATGAAGTGGTTAAGGACAATTATAATGATGCACCAGTTAATGCTACACTTCCTTTTGTAGACAAGATGATGCTTTTTAATTTAAAAGGTTTGGCATTGAAGATAGCAAGTGGAAATTTTTTTAAAAAGGAAAAAAAGGGTAGATTTTTTTAATTCGTAATTTTTAAAATCCATTATATTGATTTTCATTGCTTTTCAAGAAGGTTCCCAATCTCTTACATTCACGCAAATCCATAAATATGTACTGGATTAATAAAGTGAATATTTAAATAAATCCTTCACCGAATTTTATTTTTGATTGTGTTTTTGAGTAAACTGTAAATTATTAAGAAAATAATCTATTTTCAGAGGATCCAAATGAACACGTTGATTTATCCAAGAAGCTTCCAGATGTGGTATTGAAACTAAAATCGAGGCTTGACTATTATCACAAGCTAATTGTCCCAGCAAATTTTCCTTCCAATTCTAAATCTGCTGCTCCAAAGAATTATGGCGGGTTTTGGACACCAGGGTGGTGCTAAAAATAAAGACATTTTATAAAAATTCGCACTTAGTTATAATGGAAGATTTTTCCGTTGTTGCTTTCATACGTTCAATAAACTGTACTGTTATTTATCTTTTTTAAAAGAAATAAATATGTAATGAATTTACATGATAAAGGTTATTTTTTGTTAAAGATATTGTAACTGATATTGAATTACGAAACTTATAACAAATAATTTTTAGGGTAAATTTGGCTGATTTTTTGTTTTTTGTTTTAAGGACAGACGATACGTTCCTCAATAATATATAATTTTTTCTAAGAATTTGTCATTGAAGTATTGCTACTTTAACATGTTTACTCGCAAAAAATTGAGGTACCTTACCAGGCATTTGTGCAAGATAAAGAGATGTTGTTTCCTATAAAATCCTTTTGGAAAGAACTTAATTTGCCAATATCACATTTTTCGGTTTTTTAAAGACAATTTGAAACAAGTTTAGAAATCAGAAAGTAATTAAAATTTGGAATATTTTCCATAAAATACAAAGATATACAAAACAGATATTTGAGGAACGTATCGTCTGACCTTAAAAATCTCAATATGTAATTGCATACAATACAGAGAAATAAAGTGAGAGACACACTGTCGTCATCTTCAGAGGACATTTATAAAGATTGCACTTGGAAAGACGAACAAATGTATATGACAGGTGAATGTCATTAGGGCGCCAAAAGTATAGAATTGCACACATATAATTGTGATAAAATAAACTGCTACTTTTAAGCTATAATGTTCAATTTACATTTAGTTTAGGTTTAAATAATTTTACAAAGTAATCTTCCTTGCCTCTCCGTAATTGTTCACTATTTTCTAGAACTTTATAAAATGGAAGTATTAAAAAGTTTCCATTCGCACATGAATCAAAATGTTCACTGCATGGCGTATTCCTGTCATTCTATATTTTTTGCGCCGTAATGACATTTACCTGCGCCAATGTATAATGCTGCCTTTGTGACGTCACAATAACGACGTCATAACAACCAAGTTGTATTGTTTTTGTAAACTTTGTTACACTCTGAAGAGCCTCACGGCGAAAGAGCTAAGTGTAATAATTAAATGTGAACTTGTTTGTTCATCTTGGATTTGATTTTAATATATATATATATATATATATATATATATATATATATATATATATATATATATATATATATATATATATATATATATACGTGAGGTGATAAAAAATTTCGCGAACTAATTGAATTGATTCCATACAAGAAATAAAATAAGGTTTCAGTGTTCATTATTTTTTAAAGTAGTCCTCTCCGATTTTCATGCTCGTCTGCCACCGTTCTGCCCATGCGCGAAGCACGTGATCCAGGCGGTCACGTGACATACTCTGTAGCGTTTTGTTCACAGAAGCTTAAAGATTTTTCCGGGTTTTATATTTTTTACCATGAAAGCTATTTTTTTTATAACAAGGACAATCCATTTGTCAGAAATGGCCATATCGGTAATAGGATGGGTGGAAAATGTTATCCTTTCCCAGAATGAGCATGGTGACCATCAAAAAACGAGTCCTCTATCTTGGGAGCGTCGTTTATCCAATGTGGATAAAGCATGGGCGCCTTCTTTTTATCATATCTGATATGTAGGGCTGTGCAATAATATAGATATTCCGGTATATTGCGATTCATTAACAAAAAAATATCGTATTGCGATACGTTTTCCAGTACCGATATACCGGCAAACTGCTTGGGCTTTAGATTTCTTAAGTATGAAATATGTCAGAAACGTTTTCAATCGTGCCAAACAGTACCAAACAGTAAGGTTGCTGTTGTATGGTTGCATTTTGTTCCAAAACTCTAGTGAAATCAACAAATTCTTTTTTGCAATAATTTATATATACCCAGCCCTACTGATATGTTTAAAATCTAAAGTAAATGATATTTTACGGATTTAATAATTATATTATTGTTAAGATATTCAACTATTTTTCTAACTGTAACTTGGCGCTCTTCCATAACAAATTGCTCAACTAAGGACACATCTCTTCTCCAGCTTGCTTTAACTGGGCACGAGAACAAACATCATTTTTAACCATCTCCCTTCCTTTACTAAAACAACCGATCCAATTAATTCTGGCAAGTCTTTTATCTTCATAAACCTTGTACAAATTATTATATGTTACTGCAAAGGAATTTCCAGGATATACGAAAAATTCTACAGAAGTTCGATGCTCGAGTTCGACTGAGTCAACCATTTTTTGGTCACAAGTCATCTATATATAGACGTTATTTTCACACTGAGACGTCACAAACATGGAGCAAAACATCACATAGCATCTGCTATTTATAGAACATGAACATTTGTACGACTATATGTGTACCAAATTTCATTCATTCTGATCTGAATTGTGGTTTTGTAAATATAGAGATAGTTCACGAACGTTTTGATCACCCCTCGTATATATATATCTTGTGATGTACAAAGGGTTATCAAAAAGTTCGTGGACTGGTGCGATAAAATCGATACCATGTAGACTGTGATTGCAAAAGTTTTAAGGCGACTCTAGAGCAAACGCTCTAACCACTCCGCCCCGCGGGCGACTATGATAATTTGAAAATTCATCAACCTATCAGGCTAAAGTTTACAAAACTTCTTAAACTTTTGTTGTGTTGCGATCCTTAAAAGTTTTGATAGCACAGCCTACGTGGTATTGATTTTATCGCGCCAGTCCATTAACTTTTTGATAACCCTTCGTACATCACAAGACATCCTTCGGATGGGACCGTAGAAACCGAGATCCTGTGTTGCAGTATAGGTGCTGGCACGAAAAAGATCCTTAACTGATCAAAGGCCGTAAGTGCCGAGTACAGGTCTAATTTGCAGCACTCAAAAGGCAAGTGGTGTCTTCTCAATATGAGTGAAAAATTCTCAAAGGAATTAAAAGCCCTCTATACACTGCACACTAAAGAGGTCTGATTTTGTGGTATATTTATGCAAATATAGTAATCTGACCTTTGATCTAAAATAAAATAAATTGAAATGTACGGTTTATTACTTAATTTGTGATCAAATCAAGCATTCATAATATTTTAATAGGCATAGATGAATAGATTGAACACTTCATTTGCAGGTATTTTGCCCATTTGAGTAAACAACATTGATTTCTGTTCGTCAGTACGTCATTGTCCTTTTTCCTGGGTGTGAATGTAAGGTACCCTATCTTGAAAATGTAATAGATAAGCTCAATATTTACATCTTTACATACTGTAATTTTCTCAATGCCAAGAAATCTTTTCCTTTGGTGTATAAAGGGTCCTTAAACAAACAAACAAACAAATACAAAAGACATTATAGGGTTACCTGGCGTTATCGTCATTGAGTTTTATGACGTTTGGCAACCTCATTGTATTTAGATGTCCGCTCCTTCTGCCTCAATACTATTTTCTTGATGAGATTCCTGGATTCAAATAAAGACTGAAACCCGTTTTGTTTATTTAACTTACAAAGTCATGAACGACTGATTTCAATGCATAATATTGTAAATTGATTTATACAAAAGGGAAAGATCCTCACTAAACCATGTCAGCTTAATTCACTTGTCGGAGTTCAATTTCTACCGCACACGAGCAACGCCACTTTTGGACTTGACTGACTTTGGACACCCAGACTAAAAGTTGGCATTAAATGTGTGTCTCTCGTCCCTCTGAATCCTTTTCGGCACTTAAAAACAGGTACTCTGAGTGCATTTTATTTCTCTGTTTATTGCCTGTTAAAATATTTCCTAGGCCTCTACCAGTTTTCCCAGGGTGAATCTTCAAAGAATGCGGGAAAAAGAATTCCCTACCCTCTTTCAGCGTCAATTTTACCCCCTTACTTGTTTGGGCATTCTCTATACATGTAAAGAATGAGTGGACTGAACGCCCTATTTTGGATCTTTTTGCGATTCCTCTACCAAGCTGTAAATGAAGTGAATCCAAAATATGTAACAAGCAATAGGAAAAGCTATGAGGGGTGATCAAAAGGTTCGCAAACTAATTGAATAACTTCCATAAAAGAAATAAATTTAGATTTCAGTGTTCATTATTTTTTAAAATAGTCCTCTCCGATTGTAATGTACATCTGCCACCGTTCTGCCCATACGCGAATCACGTGATCCAGGCGGTCACGTGACATGCTCCGTAGCGTTCTGTTCACAGAAGCTAGAGGATTTTTCCGAGTCTTGTATTTCTTACCATGCAAGTTATTTTTTATAATAAAAAGAGTCCATTTGTCAATAGGGGCAATAGAATGGATGGATAAGAATATCCTTTCCCAGAATGAGCATGGTGACCATCACATCCCGAGACCTCTGTCTTGGGAGCGTTGTTTTTCGTTACAAATTGCTCAACTAAGGACACATCTCTTCCCAAGCTAATGCTTTCACTGGGCAACAGAGAACGAACATCATTTTTAACCATCTCCCGTCCTCCACTAAACAACCAATCCAATTAATGATTGAACTTCTGGCAAGTCTTTTGTCTTCATAAACCTTGTACAAATTATTATATGCTACTCCAAAGGGATTTCCAAGATATATACATTATACTTTATAGCCATTCGTTGCTCGAGTACGACTGAGTCAACCATTTTTTTTATAGGTACCTACATATTGACGTCATTTTCACATTGTGACGTCACAAACATGGAGCAAAACATTACATAACACCTGCTATTTATAGAACTTGTGTATGAGTATATGTGTACCAAATTTCATTCTGATCTGAATTGTGGTTTTGTAAATATAGAGATAATTCACGAACTTTCTGATAACCCCTCGAACGTATACATGATTATATTAGGTAGAAACTTTGTACAAAAGTAATGACTTGTTGCTATGAATCAAAATTGAAGTAACGATACATTAGTGTCGCCGTCCGAAATTTAACATGTACCCGGAGTGGTTTTTAGGTCACATAATCAAAATTACAACTGTAATAGGAGGCGAGGTTATCAATCGGCGTCAGTGTCGACATCTCTCTCTCTCTCTCTCTCTCTCTAGGAATTAGAATATGTGTATGGTATATTACATCGATGTCAATATGAAATTTAAAAAAAAATGTGAGGACACGCAAAATTATAATAACATTTAATTTACTTAATTTTGAAAATTGCAACCAAA